GGCTACTTTGCAAAGATATATTGTTGCCACAATGACATGTTCAACATGATATATAAGTTGCCATTTCTCCTTGCCTACAAAAATTTTCTTAAATTTTTTTTTTGCAAGCAACGTAGTCTTAAATATGGATATTTATTTGGCTATCGTCTAATTGTACCTAAATTGAGCTCAGTGTACCGAATGTACCTTTTGGTTCGAAAAAGTCGGAAAAAGGTACGATTGTATCTACTTTTCCATTCCTGTATCGCGGACAGGTCGGCGAGGACTTTTTTAATTTATATTTTTAGCATTTAATTAGACAACCTTATGAAAACCAAAAGATTTCCTTTTGGTTTTATTAAAAATGTTTGCCCGCTGGAAGCAAGAGGATTATCTTCTTAACATAAAACCGTAGAGATATCTTATTAGTTTTGTTCCATTTTATAAGGTGCTTTTTTCTCTGCGTGGAAAAATTTTGTAGTTACAGGGCTTTGTGACTTTTCATAGTTAAATTGTTTACTTCTTATAAAATAATTGGAACGAGCTGCTCTCCTCCCATAATGTATCGGAATGCTATAATAGTTTTAAAAATACTTCTTTCTTTCTTAAAAATTTTAAGTCATCCGGGAGCCTTTTATTCTCTGACCCATATTTGAATTATCTGAAAGAATTTAACTGTTTAGATAAATTTCGTTATAGGAATTTCATTCTCGACGTGGAGTCGATTATAAAGCCGATGCTAACATAATTTTGAAAATGTGTAAATGCTAAAAAATCTATTTCTAGTAAACTATACCTCCAGCAGTATTTCTTGAGGATAAATTTTCTTGTAGCCGTAATTATATGGCTAATCGCTTCGCATAAGTTTTGTTAAAATTTTCCGATGACAATGGCAATTTTGGATCTCTTAACCCTCTGTGACTGATGTGGTAGTCTGCCAAACACCGAAGGTTGGACATTTTGTCTGAGCTTCAATAGCATTGATTACTTAAAACGACTAATTTTCGACATATAGTTTATTTATATGCCTATTTCATTAATTAGTATTTAAAATATTGATAAAATTTCCAGTTTAAATCGAAAATATTTATTAATAAATATCTAACATATACATACATATGTATATTTTGATCTGCAAAATTGGTGTCTGAGAGACTACACGTCAGTAAAATAGGGAAATTTCGGTCACGTCAGTAGCAGAGGGTTAACTTGTCATCACATTATGCTTTAAATTGCATTTCTAAACTTAAACCATCAGCTTACATGGCTTAAAAAATAATGTGTGGAATTACAGGCCGATTTCTAAACTGTCAACAGTTTGCAAATTTTTTTTTTAAATATTGTCAAACACAAGTTATATTTTGCTCCAAATCAACATGGCTTTGTTTGTAATAGATCAACAGTTTCCAACCTCCAATTTTTCGATAAAGTTTCTCACTCAACATTAGTTAGTAAATTAGCTTATCTTGGGTTTAATTTAGTCTTTCTGAATTGGATAAAATCATGTTTGTCTAATAGTCGGCGTGTCTATTGACGGCATATCTTCTGAACCTTTCAATGCTACCTCTGGCGTTTCTCAAGGGAGTATTTTAGGGCCATTGCTTTTTTTTTGTTTATTAAAGTTTCCAGCATGTGTTTTTCATTCTCTAAATTTTTACTCTATGCGGATGACCTAAAAATTTTTTCAACACTGAAAAAATCTGTATGATATGAATAGGCTTCAAGTAGAACTGGATTATCTCCATGATTTGTGCGTTAAATCAAGATTTTCATTGAATTTAAAAAGTTGTTTCAAGATCATTTTTGCAAAAATTCGATATGCATTGTAGACAAATTACATTATTTCTATTACTCTGTTAGATTATGCTGAGGAAATGAAACCCAACAAGCAAATTAAACTTAAAGAAAGCTTTTTGAAAGTTTTGTATTATAAACATTAAGCTTACAAAATGTTGATTTTTTGTTTGTAAAACGCTTGAAAGTAAGCGTAATATAATCGAAAAGGAACCTTGGTTATAAGCGTAGAAATATAAACTTAAAATAAATGCTGAAAAGAAAGCTTTTTATAATCGTAAAAGTGTAAACTTACAATAAAGGTTAAAAAAATTGTTTATAAGCGTATGAATATAAACTTACTAAAAGTTTTCAAAATAAAGCTTTTTATAAACCTCTTTATAACCCTTTATTTAAAGATATTTCATTAAAAAACTCATACATATATTGCTTACCATCTAGAAACTAAAAGAAATGCGAATTTTCGGCGGACTCATCTACAGTCGCGAAAATATAAATAGGGAAGAGACATTTTAGCATTCAAATTCACGATAACATACAAACATTAAGCATAAAAAAGCTAATTATTACATCTTGTTGCGTGCAGCAGCCTTTAATTACATGCGGTTATTGGCAAATTGGAAAAACGACATCGATGCAGCTATATATTCCGCTTCATCGCCGCCATTCTCATTGATGGACTTTTCTGAAAAAAATTTAATACATTTTTAATTGAATGTTAAAGTAAGAAAGGATAAGGAGAACTCATCATTTTATGTTCAATGTGTTCTTCCGCGGACTTCACTGTACAAATTTATAATTTCTTCAAACTGTTTTTTCACTTTTTAAACGCGACATTTCCGCCAATTTTTACCACATTGGTTTTATATTTATTTTTTTTTTAATAACATATTTTAAAGAACGTAAAGACGTCACTGACAATTGAAAAAATGTTATATTTACTACTTCATGTCGTTGGCATTTGCAATTCATTTTTAAGTTTAAGTGATTTATAAACATTCGCTCTAAACACTTATTAAAGGTTTATTTAAAAACACTTTTAATAAACATAATATTCAAAACGCTTATTATAGCAAACTTACTGTAAGCTATTTTTAAAAACATTTACTGGAATGCTTGTTGGGAAAATTTTGGCATTGCTTTTTCATAAAATTTTTCCTTGACGGCCACATCAGTAGAAAATCTTATTCAGTTTTGGTCTTAGTGAGGCGAAATTGTGCAAAATTTTTGTACGTCATATTTTATTATTTTTAACTTCGGATTTATTGGTAATTCTCTAGAAAATTAAAAAGGGAATAAAAGGAAGAAATGGTTGTTAAGTGATGCACAAGTTTTTTTTGTAGCAAAAATGCGAACAAAGGATTTAAGAAATGTCAACGACAACAGAGCCGGTGCGAACTGCTTTGAATCCACAATCAACGAAACGCGTTTTAAATCAGTTTTCGATGTCGGTGCGAACATGCTTTTATATTTTACAAAATTAACCCCTGAAGGAAAAATATGAGGTATATCATTTTACTTTTAAACAAAAATTACGAGAACTTTTAAAGTATAGTTATATGGGCCCTTTTTAGTGATTGCCGCTGGCATCGGCGATAGAAATAAATACATCGTCGCACACAGTCGTCGAACGAAATTCGTCGTTTGCCTTGATTGTGCGCAATTCGAATTTATATGTACAAGCTGGTGTTCGTAGAACAACATTTTCTCTTCGGTACTTCCAAATGTCAAAATGATTTGCTTGTTGTACATTTGTGGCGATTTTCCCTGCCGTTGTGCGTATAATTTGTCATTGTAGTTTTTGTGTTTTTGTTCAACCGGTACCACCTTATATTAATTCGCTTGGTTGTGCGCGTCCTCTGTACGCAAGTGTTTTATTTTTTTCGGCGAGCATTCGGGATGAAAAATTGTGCCGTTCGCCGGCTACAGTCCAGTTCGTGCTTCAGTTATTACAACATTGTTTTCTCACTTGCATTTTTTTCATTTGATTCTCCAGTAAAACAGATATACAAATTCTAAAATTTACTTTTCACCTTAATAATTTTAGCTTAAATTTTAAATTTATTATCAACTTTGAAACCCCAAAATCAAATATCAATGAACTTTCTTAATTATTCAACTCGCAGCGTGGCAACACCGCAAACCAGTTGTCATCCAGCATTCCGCCTTCTCTACTTATTCGTACACATTCATTCATTGCTGCACACGTTTATTCAGCCGCTTGCCTATTGCTTTTCACCCGTTCATTCTTCTTCCAACACATAAGCTATTGACGTTTTGCTGTCCATTGGCATAGCACAACACAACACGAGTCAGGAGTTCTGTAAATTTTAATTATTGCAAACTGATTTTCCATAAAGTTCAGTACAAGTTTTAATGGAAAATTGTTGATAATAAGTGAATAAGAGCGTAAAGTGAGTGATTGTGTGGCAAAAACCGCGAAAACAACGACAAGTTTAGTATTGCAAAGGCAAGCAAGGAAAAGTGGCAATGCATACAGCGGTTTTCTGGCGTAATGGAGGTGAAGAGAAAAAATAAAACAAATAAAAAGTTCTATATTTACATTTTCGAATAAATCAACAAGAGATGAAAAGTGTTAATTGAGAAAACTAAAAAATAAAATCAAAGGAGACCTTAGATAAGTTGTTTAAACTACGGCGTTGCGGTGTAAGAAAACAAATTCATTTACCGTTTTTTTATATTCTGTTAACCGGCCAACGCAGAGTTCTCGAATTTTCAGGGTCACATAAATTATGAAGAAATAATAAATGGTTGCGTTGTACTTACAAGTGCGTAAACAGTGAATGTTTTTAAAGGTTTTTATGCATAATTTAATTGAGAAACATTGCATGACATACACACGGGAGCGTAGATAAAACAAACAAAGAAAAAAACAAAAACAATTTCAAATAAGAAAAATCTGATTAGACCGAAGCAGTGTTCTCTTCTTCTTCTTATTTGGCGCTGTAACCGCCTAAGCGAT